GAACTAAAATATTGTTTTCGACTTCTTGTCATCCACAAACTGATGGACAAACAAAAGTGGTTAATAGGACGTTGCCAACCTTATTGCATTCTATTATTCAAAAAAAATTGAAGAACTGGGATGAATGTTTGCCACATGTTGAATTTGCTTATAATCAGAGAGTCCGTTCAGCAACTAACTATTCACCATTTGAAGTTGTGTATGGTTTTAATCCACTCACCCTTTTGGATTTATTGCCATTACCCATTAATGAACAAGCTAGTTTGGATGGGAAAAAGAAAGCTGAAGTGTTTAAGCAACTACATGAGAGAGTGCGACGAAACATAAAGCGACGAACTGAGCAATATGCAAATCAAGCCAACAAAGGGCGTAAGAAAATTGTGTTTGAACCTAGAGATTGGGTTTGGGCACATATGTGGAAGGCGTGATTCCTTACACAAAGGCATTCTAAGTTGCAACCAAGAGGTGATGGACCATTTCAAGTGATTGCAAGGATAAACGACAACACATACAAGTTAGAGCTTCCTGGTGAATATAATGTTAGTGCTACTTTTAATGTTTCTGATCTTTCTCCTTTTGATGTAGGTGCCGATTTGAGGACAAATCCTTTTGAGGAGAGAGGGAATGATGGGAATCAAGATGACCCCACATGTACCACATCAAGAGATCCATTACACATTCCAGGAGGTCCGATCACGAGAGCTAGAGCTACAAAGATGCAAAAAGCTTTAAATGGCCTTATTGAGCATATCTGCATTGATAACAACATGCAACAAGTAAATCGAAGCTTAGATGATTATCAAGGCATGGTAAACATCATTTAGGTTCAAGAGAAGCTTAATTCAGGTTCAAGAGAAGCTTAATTCAGGTCATTTATGCTAAATTACACAGTTTGTGTCAAAATCCCGCAATTCTGTTGCAATTTATAACAAATTGATATTTCATGTTACTTTAGGTTACTTTAAGTGATTTTCACATTTTTAATATTATTTTGGGCTGAACATTCATTTATTTGAGGCCCAATTCGTGGTTATTGGGATTAGGGCTTAGGGCTTAAGGTTTAGGGTGTTAGTTTCCTATTCTGATTAAAATTACTTTTCCCTATTTAAAGGGCTTGTAACCGTAATTGGAGGTAGCTATTGAATCTGAGTTTTTGAAAGACTTTTCTCTTTGGTTCATTTTAGAACTTTATAAAACTTATCAAGATTATTCTTATGACATTCTAACCTGACTTATCATTCTTGTTCTCAATCGTTCGCAGGTGTGGCGTCAACCAACTTTATACCTCTGGTTCTTGTTGCGTTATAAACAACGGCTCAAGGTTTTTAACTTTGGTTCTTGTTGCGACATAAACAACGGGTCAAGGTCCTATTATAAACCTGATTTTGGCTTTCCTAGAGTTTAGAAATCCCTGGTCGTGCTGTGGGTCTCATTGTTCTCTTCAGGGCTCTCATCAATCTATTTCACCGTTGAATGTGTCTTTAGGGGCTGTAGGCTTTTTAAGTAAATCTTCTCCACCGGACATGTTAAGTATTTAGGAAAAAGCAGATGGAATAAAAGATGAAACATGCAGGATTGAAACCTACTCTGATACCATGATAAAATATGGAAGATTTCTTTTTGTATTACTTAAATAATCTATATAATTACAAGTTTATATACAAGTAAAATACCAAACTTAGCTGAACTAAAGCCTAAAATTGATATATGTGAGCTGTAAGAACAATGCTAAAAAGCTAAGAAGCTAACATAGCTGCTGAATTTGTGTGTAGGGTTGGCCATTTGTTTGATGTTTTTCTTTTAAATGTCTTAAGATAGCTTATAACTATCCACTTTCTATTTGCTGCAAAACATGACAAACTTTCTTGTCTAGTCTGACAACTTAGTGGCAAATTTGGTCAAAACCCAGTCTAGAACTCTCACAACATGTCTGCCATTTCATCCACTTGTCAACCTTGGTTGGCAATTTCCTCCTAAAATAAAATATAGTCATTATCTCCACTAACTCAAATAACATTAGATAATTATGAGATAGTTATTAGATATGTAGATCTAGCATTCCACGCGGTGTCTATCTTGGTGATTTGTCATGCCCTAGATTACAACAACAACAATTCTAGCATGGCTAAATCCCAACTAGTTGTTCAAATAATGTTACACATGGCATCGTCAAACAAATTAGTAATTTATAGTGTAAACAAATATATTTTAGGAAAAATATCACTGAGAAACACTAGAATATATGTCACAAGTGCAAAACTATTTATGGATGCTAACAGTAAATAAGAGTTCAAGCTTGAAAGAGCTGTGAGCACCAATTGGTAGGCGGCAAGTACAGATTGAGGGATTCTAAAACCACTAGACATACTAATAATATAAGTGAATGTAGGATGAGTTGAGGACACAATTTCTCAAAGAGGATGAGAACCAAATATATCAAGAAATGAAAAATATCCCAAGTTGTTTGGCCTTGGGGGCACACCATCTGCAGATCACAACATTAAAGAAAGAAGGATTTTTGCCATTCATCACACGACTAAATGACCTTTACCTTCTCTAAAATGGGCTAAAATATGCATTTAACCCCTCACCTTAATAAGTTTAAAGTTTTTAACCCTTCCCTTATATTATGAAGTTTTTAATCCGTAAACTTAAAAGTTTAAAAATTTTAGCCCTTAAACTAGTAGAATGTATTAATTTTTTGTTAAAGTGAGAATAAAATATTTAGAGAATCAATTCTCAAAAATTAAAAATATAACAATTTAATTCTAAAAGTTTAAAAATTAAAAAAAAAAGTAAATTAAAAATAATTATTAGATGTCTTTGCCGCATGTATGAGAACACTATTAAATATCTAAATCAAATTAAGTGATTAACTCAATTTAAAGAAAGAAATATAACTAAAATTAAAAAAAAAAAATTGGTTGTATTTTTTTAATCTCTTAGAATTTTTGTTTTAACTCAGTTAAAAAATTTTCTTCATTTTCAGTTAGAATGCTTTCTTTAAATTGAGTTAATCGCTCAATTTATTAAAGATATCTAATATTGTTCTAGTTATGTCAGAAAATCATTTATTAATTCTTTTTAGTTTACTAACTTTTTTTAATTTTTAAAATTTTAAAACTAAATTGTTACATTTTTAATCTTTGAAGACTGATTTTTTAAATATTTTATTCTCATTTTAACAGAGAATTAACAAATTCCATTAGTTTAGAAGTTAACATTTTTAAACCTTTAATTTTAAGGACTAAAAATTTCATAATACAAGATGATGAACTATAACCTTCAAATTTAATAAAATAACAGGCTAAAGGCATATTTTAACCCTCTAAAATGTTATAAAGATGGAGTACAAGAGAAGTAAAACCTAAAAACCACATCATAATCCAAATTTACTGTTCTGATTATCCTTTGAAATTCCATCTTCTACACCCATGAGACACTTGGAATGGTCACGATTCACAAAGACTAAATCATTATAAATATCCTTGTTTTATTGGAAGCACATCATCAGATCACTAACAAAAATTTACCGGGTAACCTGTTATATACTTCCAAATCGAAACAAATTTGAGAATTAGTAAATAATACTTAAGAATGTGTCCGCAGAATCAGTGTTGTCAATAGTGGCCGCTATAGTGCTATAGTGGCTATAGTGTAGCGGTTCATAGCCTATTCACTATAAATATGTTTGTAGTGTAGCAGATTTATAATAGCGGTTGCTTTTTCCATAGTAGATGGCGGCTACTATTAACTCTATTTAAACATCTAATGAAAAGTAAAAAAAAACATCATATCCTTTTTTTAAGGGTATAATAGTCTTTTAGCTTACCTTCTATTAAAAAAACAAGAAAAATCTTTTTTAACGCCAAATAGAAAGAAAACCCTAGTTCACTCTTCACTTCATGCATCAGTGTGCTCCTTCACATAAAAGAAGTTGACCCAATCCCTTCCTCTTCTTCTCAAAGAAGCCAAGCCAATCACTCATAAAAGAAGTCACTGCCAGCAACCCATTTTATCACAGTAATCTTTGATGAACACAAAGCTCAGATTTGGGGTGGCTCAACATTTGCTCAGATACTAATTTCTTTTTCCTTTTTTTTTTTCTTTTTTAAATTTGTTTCTTCTCTTCTTTAATTGTTCTAAGTTCTAATTTCTAAAACTGAAATATGAATCCATCTCTTTCTCTCTCTTTTTTTCTTTATTTATTTGTTTAGTTGAATCCATCTCTCTTTCTTTTTCTTTTTTCTTTTTTTCAATTTATTTATTCTCATTGTCATCTTCCATTGTTCTCCAAATTGTTCTCTAGAAGTCCAAAGCAATCTCTTTTTTTTTTTTTTTCTGCTGTTTTTTTCTTTGGACATAGACATACACATCCATGTTCCAGTTCTAGACTCTCTTTTTTTTTTTTTCAATTAATTTGTTAACTTGTATGTATGTCAAACTATCATTTAATTTAATTTGATGTTTGATGACTCTCCGAAGCAATCTCTTTTGTTTTTCTTGCTGTTTTCTTTTTTTTCTCTACATACACATCCATGTTTCAATTCCAAATTGTTTTTTTTTAATTAATTTATTCTCTTATTTGAAGACTCTCCTTACATCATTTATTTGATTTCCATTAATGGTTTATTATTTTTTTCGTGGATTAACAAACATGGCAAGTGAAAGTGGATCCACCAGGAACTCCTCAAAATCAAAGAAATCAAAAGAAGATATTGGGAAGAAATACAACAAATTGGTAGATCATAATAACACAATTTGTGTGATGTGTAACTTTTACAACAAAATTAAAACTGGTGGGATAACTAGAACAAAGTGGCACCAGATAAGGATTAAGGGAGATGTAGCAACATGTCCTAGTTGCCCACAAATGGTTATTATTAGGTCATTTTAAACCTTCTTATTAGCAAGTATGTTAATTTTTAACCATATTTAATTTTTTTAAAAATTTTTGCCACTATGTTGTCAATAGTAGCTGCTTCGCTATCCGCTACGTTATCATAGCAATTTTTGGCCTTCTTGCTATTTACTGCTATCCAATAACACTGCACAGAATAATATATCTAGAGGGTAGAGGAAACATGTTGATTCGAATAACACTTAAAGAATGCGTAGAGAGTAAAGGAAAAACGTACCCATGCTTTGGTTGAGCCAAGAAACAAAAGCCTCCAAAACTAGACACAATAATTAAATTGGAATAGTTAAAAAGCAGGGCTCAAATAAAAAAATAAAAGATAATAATAACAATAATAATAATAATAATAATGATAATAATGATAATAATAATAATAATAATAATAAAAGAATAGCTGAAAGGCAACTTTAAAGAATATCAACCATCATTCTATTAGCCATCACCCCATCCTGTTTGAATCACAACTTTATTCAATATACTGTTAGAGGTTACATCTAGCACTTAATCGAGCTTTCGGCACGTGATGATAGCCAACTTTATGACACCTTTCTGGAATCCTTCAATCATCAACGGCATAACCAATGCTCCTTTTATAGTTTTCAATCCTGAAAAACCCAGATTAAAAACAAATTTAATAAGGAGTGAAAGCTAAAGCTCAATTTGTACTGTAGAAATTGGAAAATATTGTTTTAGGTATATTTATTTGAGTGTGGCACCAATGTTCAAGATGATGTTGAAATAAATACAACATTTTCATCTCCAAAAATTAATGCAATATGATAGAAAATTAGATTTCTGTTTTTTTTTTTTTTCCTTTTTCTAACAATCACTTTCCATTGCCTTCAGTTCAATCAGATTACATCCACTCCTAGGCACACCCGGCTGACAAATGAATTTATTGCATATAATATGCTCATTACTTCAATATAAGCTCCTTTAAAGGGTACCATATCTTAGCAAAATGATTCTAATTGACGGAAATTTTAAGTAACAGTTTTCCAGCTGTTAAAGCAAGGTTAATTACCACTGCGTAGTAGTGATGTTAGGCCCTTCCACGTCAGTGCTGACCGTATCACTGCAGGCCAGAACGGGGCAACATACTGAGACCAATCAGCTCTCTTTACTTCCTGCATTGCACCTTAAGTTAATAGTAACTTAAATCTACAAGAAATTAACAACGATTGAACCATGCACCTTACCAGGTGAAACTCAGATAGAGGAAATTCAGTAGTTCAATTTCATTTATGTAGGCAAGAAATTGTTCAAACATTTGAAATTCATGAATCACCTTCTGTTTTCAAAACGGGGATCAATTATTTAGAATAATACTAATGAAATCTAGGACTGACTAAGAGTGAGGGCAAAGATCATATTCCAAACAAATATTCCCAAGACCCAACTTTTGATGAATCCACAAGTAGCCACCCATTAGATCAAGTTTCAAAAATAGTTTAGGCCAATTCAAGTATGTAATTACCATTTGGCCAAAAAAGTTTGTAATTACCTGGACAGAATGGGACTTGAGTAATTTGACATAGTCAGCAGTGGAACACCACTCTGGAAGATAATAAGCATCACATATCCTGCTCAAGAGGTTTTTCTCCCAGGGTTGCAAAGACTCTTCAGAAGGAGCAAGATCCCTATGGCACCATGTCACTACTATAATTGTGCCTCCTGGCGCTGCAACTCGCACTAACTCATTAACAAACTGCCAATTTGAGAAGAAGAAAGGAAATTGAAGTAAGATGCTATGACAAAAGCTATGAGGAGAAAATGTAGTCAAATGCCACTGATCGATTGGGTATGACCAGATGAACTCAAAAGAAGGATAAGTATGGATCACAAAGATATGCGGAACTAGCCAAAAAAAAACCTTTGCTTTGTCAGGCATGTGTTCACCACTTTCCATAGACCAGACTAGATCAAATTGGCCATCAGGGAATGGTTGATCCAAAGCATCTGCAACTTGAAAAGAAACCTGCTGATAGTTCACACCATCACATTGTGAAAGTTAAAGAGATAATTACCATCTTTTCAGAAAATTTCTGCAAAGATAAAAGCTTAAATAAGAAAAAAAAAAATGAAATTCCAAATTTCAATCAGACATGTCCTTGCAGTGGAGAATTCTATTCATCCCATCTATTATTCTATTAGTCTATTATTAAAACTATTAACACAGAAACTCTGGCCAAGTTTAGAGCCAATAAGCTTAAAAATGAAATGCTACAAGCCCAGGTCTTAGGTCTATCCGCCAACGGATACTAATGATGCAACAAATCAAATGGGTGAACTAAAAACTGTAAATTAAGGTCAAACTACATCTCAATAGTATAAAATTGCAATCCCAACAAAAAAGACAAACTCAACGCTGCAATTAAGGTCTTGTTTAAGCTCCAGTGAGGTCTTCTCGGTCTCCCAACAACTTGTATGGCTCTAGGTCAAACATATCACAACTAAGATTTGAAAAAAAAAAAAACCCCCCAAATTACCATGTTCTTTCTAGGATTAGCATTAAATATTTTAAACGTGTCTAAACTCCAAAAATGATTTGTTATAATGAATTCATACGGGTAAAGAGTAATTATATATATCTATATACGTAATACGTGTAGATATAGGAATGGAAGTAACCAAAATTTAGGGAGAAACAAGAATTTATTACTTAAACAATGACAAGTGTAGCAAAACAATTAGCAAAATGATAAGCACAGGCACAATAGGAAATTATAGTATATATCTTAAACTATGGAAATTGGAGGCTGGGCGACATACCTTGTCTGCTAGCCCTGGAGATGCAGCAAGAGCATTGGCCCTTTCAGCCTGGACGGGGCTCAAGGTGATGCCTTCACATTGAGCTCCATACTTAGTTGCCAAGTATCTGGAACTGCCTCCTATCCCACACCCAACATCCACCACTCGCTTATTCGCCAGGTCCTCTGCAACCCAATTCAGAATCACGTCAGTTGTCTATACTCTTAATCGGGATGATGAAGGGCTGAATCAAACGAACCGGAAATTCCAGCAAAAGAGAGAGCCTGATCGATCATTCGGATCTGGGCAGCCCGGTGATCGGAAGCAGAGAGGGAAACAGATGAATCGGGGTCGTAGAAGCCATGATGCATGTGGTCGCCCCATATTTCCTCCCAGATACCGGAGGACTCGTCGTAGAGCTCGGCTATACCTTCCTGCAGTGTGCGTGGTTTGGTCGGCGCCGTCGCGTTTGTACGGGTGAGTCTCACACGTGCGGACGTAGTAAGTTCACCAAACCTGGGACCGCGGATTAGAGGAGGTGTTGGTGTTGGTGGCGGCGGAGTTCGGCATGTGAGAGGGGAAGGGAGAAACGTACGAAGTAGTAGCGCGGTCATAGTAGTATTTATTATTTTTTCCTTGCGTGGAAAGAGGATAATAGTACAGACTGAAAGTGTGAAGAAATCGAAACAGAGCTATGGTGTAGTTGGTTCAACTGAATTTAACAGAGAGATGAAATGGATGGGGAGAACAGCAAAACCCCTAACGATGTTTCTATCTATGCACTGAATTTCAGTGGGTACTCACTGAACCACAAATCTTTGGATGTCTTTGAAAGTTATTGGCTGCTGATCGCCGGAAGACACCAGGATTAGGGTCTGATTCGATGGCGATTATGATTACGATTTGCCTTTAGTAGGCTCTTTGTTTGTTTGTCTTCTTTTTTTTTTTTTTTTTTTTTTTTTAATTAGAAAGAGGTTTTTGAGACATGCTTTTAATTTTTAAAGCAAAGTTTTAGAATATTTTTTTATAATAAATATATTATACAATATATAAAAATTAATAATTTTAATATTAATATCAAATAAATAAATTTAATTAAATAATTAATAAATTAAATATCAATTTTTATTATCAATTTATAAAAATATATTTATCATAATTTTAAGTTTAACTTCTATTTAAAAAATAAAATTTTACTAGGATTTAATTCTTCGGCTCTCTTTGATGTGCGCTCCCTTATTCAAACCCCTAAACCCACTTACAAATAAGGGACGTGGATATGTCCACATTTCCAAATAAGGTTGAGATAAATTAATTTTTTAAATAATTAATCAACATAAATTATTTATAATTTAATGTGTAATGTTGTTGAAGGATGAATTTATATGGTTATAAAGTCGATGACATATATGGCTCTACATCAACAAAGGCCCACATGACTTATTTTCCATATCAAACATGTCATTCTTATTTTTTGCCAATTATTGCAATAGAGTCAGTATCGCTAGAAATGACACTTATCTATTACACTGGAAATATTGCAGAATATAGCCTATGTCAGCATCTTTTTATATACATGGCCAGACATAACTAAACCTATTCCAACGACATGGCTAGACGTTTTTGACAATCATATCCTTTGCAATGATATTCACTACTGCATCTTGTGGCTCCCAGCAATGGATAAAGGATTGACTTTGCTACATATACATGGCTTCCATCAACAGAACGGGCCACAACTACACAGCCCTTGGCCATGGACAAAGGACCACATTCGTTATCTCATATAGCCTTCAACAAAGGGAAAAAGGCTATACATTTCTACATATTTCATTAAATTGGCTCCCGACAATGGACAAAGAGTTAGATTTATACATACTATTATCTCACTAGCTTTTGGAAACAGACAAAAAGTCAACACAACTTGATACAATTAACGTGAGGATGGTAACAATTACAACCATGCGATCGAACGAGATGGTTACCCTCTCGTAATAACAATCCATCAAGTAGCGGCTGACAATCCCTTAGTGGTCACCCGTGCATGTTGGTGTGGTGTGGTGTGGTGCCCGACGGGCAGCAACAACAACAACCAAGACCACCTTTTGACATGCGAGTACAGTAAGAAGGGCTAGTGTTTGTCAGTAGTATCACATCTTGTTGTATTAGAGGTCGTGGATGTGGCAGGTATCCCCCTTCCATGGAGACAACTCCACTTCTTTCCATCACATATTCAACGCTATGGCGGAGTTTGGCTTAGTGAGATTTATCCCTTCATGACTTGGCAAATTAGTGAGAATGCTCTTTCGATTCCACATAATTCACACTCCAACCATGAGCAAAGTTAGCTACTATTGTCCCTCTAGTTATGAGGAAGCTATTCATGGCTAACCCTACAATATTTATATGGCTGACAGCCATGCCTATTATTATCCTTTCATACAAAGAGACAAAATTACTGGTTGCTGGTAATCCCAACTCATAACATAAATTTTCCATATTTTACGTGTTAAAAGGTATCGTTGACCAACAATGCTTGGTTCAGGACAACGATATCGCAGCACACATCCATATAACTTATTCTTTACTTTGGCACAATACCAGTCATATACAACAACAATATATCAGTGCTCACCATGGTCAGCAAGTAAAAGGACGCAACGAACATTCATCCCCATCGTCCCCTTTAATACACAAGGAAGTACCCTTCTTTGCTACATATATCCATACACTTTACACTTAAATATTTGAATATATACTCATTTATATCTTATTCTCATTGCAGATAAACACAAGCCCATGAATCCAAACTTATAGGAATCACTTGGGATAAAGTATGGGAGTAATGGTTTGGTAGGCTTGGATGGGTGAACGCTGCCCATCTGGCGAAACAAGATATTTGCACTAGCGAAACAAGGTATTTGCACTAGCGAAGCTTGGCATTGGCGATGTCGCTCGACTTCGCCAAAAAGGGGCTAGGTGGCGAAGACATAAAAGTGGACTTGATTCCGAAATAGTACCCTTTGATGCTAACTAGAAGCTTAAAATCTCATTAAAAGAGTAACCAAAGATGCTATTTTGGTCACCATCAACAAGTTGTAGCTATATTTAATGTAAGGATGGTTGCACAAGTTCCATGGCCTTAGAAACTGTTGAAAAAGATTGCTTTTTGCTTGAAAAATCTTACAAAATCTTGTACAGATCTTCAGGAATCTATCAAAATCCTATGCATGTGTTGTTTTTGCCGACTGCACTCAAGTACTTCCCTAAAAATGAAATTTCGTATGGCTAAAGGAATCTCCAAAAATAGGCAACTTCCAGTCCATCGCTAGAACCACTGGGTAATTCATGATATTACTGCCAGAAAGATGTCAACAGTGTCCAAAGCCATTAAAAGCTTAACAACTCACCCAAATCTACCCAATAGCCACTAAACACCTTTGGCTCATTAACTTGAAAATTACAAAAATACCATTGCACTTGTATATATTAATTTTCCTTCATTTTTTCGAAGGGGAGAATAGTTTTCTCATGACTTTGGCCTTCATTTCCCACACACGAGACTTCCATTATCCCTTTGAAAAATCCCCATCTTCAACCTCTCACCCTACATGTCAAAGTCACCTAGAAATCACCATTTTCTTCATATTTTCTACACTTCCAATATTACAGAATAATTTCCAGAATTGCAACACATTATGGCTGGGAGACAGCATGCTCTAGTTTCAATTTCTTGGTAATTTTTCTTGAGTATCAGAGGATCAACCTACAAAGTTAGCATCAAAAAATAGGATCAAGCATTCCACTCATAAGGCCCTAAGCGGTCATCCTTCCTTCTCCCCATCACTACTTTCAAGTTTATTTTTTTTATTCTTGAGAAAGCTTTAAAAGAGGAATTGTTGTATCTTCCATTTGCAATATGAGAGTCATTCAATATAGAGTGAGAATATTTACTAGAGATGATAAAGGGTACATTTATTGTCACTCTTATTATGTCACAATATTTTATGTATAATTGTGCTTCTCAAGTTGTAACCTTTGATCCTCATGTATCTTCTATCCTTGTTACTCTTGTTATGATGATTCACTTTCTTCCTACTCTTTTAGTAGTTGTGTAATCATTTTCAACTCTAGAAATCCCATTGTTGTTACTCAGTTCCCTTCTTCCGACTTGGCTAGGAAATCCACAGTTTTAGACACTATTGGAGATTTGTTGCTGGTCGACACCCTTGGGTGGAACAAGATGTCCCATGGCAGATAGCCTTTCGCATGTGAAACAGGTGTTGCCAAAAAGACCCTCCTCATTTTCTCAAGTGTCATCCTAGTTAGCCTCCACATCATCACGATTGTTAACTCATCAACCTACATCACCATACTATAAGAAAATCCACATTTAGTAACTAAATTATTAATCATTAAATCTTTATTTTTCGTCACAAATTATTATTAGTGATAAAATTTAAACTATTAGTAAAACTCTTATCACTAATGCTTTTAGTGACAAATTAGGCACCTACCACAAAAAATAATCTTATAGTAATAAAAAAAATTGACATTGTTAACAAGTTATTTAAAAAAATTTTATTCGTCACAAAAAAAAAATTTTTTGTTACAATAATTTTCATCACAAATGTTACAATTGAGTGACCAAAAAAAATTACAAATGCAATTGTGATAAAAAATTTAGTCATTAATTATTAAAATTGATATTAAATAAAAAAGATATTTATATAATTACAACACAAATATTGTAACAAAAATTTTGTCACAAAAAAATAATATATAAATTTATCACAAAAGTTTAATAAAAAATATTATTATTTCAATACTAATCAATTTTAATTAAAATTAATTAAACTCAATTAAAATTAATAAGGCCCAAACTAATCTCAAGTTTTATTGAGTTTTACGTGTTTTATAGTGCAAAAATTTAATTTCTTAAATATTTCTCATCGATGTGGAATATATTTATAGTGCAAAACATTATTCTCTTATGTGTTTTTTATCGATATGGAATGCATTGATTAGAGAAAACTGACAATTTTTAGTGACAAAATTTATTTTTAGTGATAAATTATTTGGTCATCATTGAATGTATACGGTATATATGATCAATATTAGAATTATATCATAATTATAATGCATTATAGTGACCATTTTTATCGACAAAAGCTTATTTTATCTCTATAAACATTTTTCGGTGATGAAATATATTTTTATGATGAATTTTTTTTCTTCATCATTAAATATGTATGCATCTGTAATTAATTTTTTAGATCTGTCACAATTGTGAAAGTTATAGTAATGATTTCAAAATTCATTACAAATTTCTATTACTAAAAACCATTTTTTTATAGTGCAATACACCCCAAGAAATGTCAACATATATTAATTTTCTATTAGAAACATGATTTGGTGAGAAATAAATTTCTAACATATGATTTATTATAATTTATTTGGATGGTGGATTTTTTTTTTTAATTTTTTATCTATGTTTTAAAAACCAGCTAGGTAACACTCTCATTTTGGCTACTAAGAGTGGTTCAATTGAAATTGATTGGAAAATGATTAGTACATACTTGATTCAATACATTTTTTAACACATTTGTAGTTCAACAATTAAAAATATAATACAAATACAGTCAATTCAGGCGATTCTTACATCTTATGTGCATAATTATATTTTTAAACTTGTCTACTTTTGATTTCAAATTAAGAAATAGTTATTTTTCAATGAGTATATTGTACAGTATATTGAATCAAATGTGTACCAATTACTGTCCAAATTGATTATAGTAGTTAATCTAAGTCAGTTCAATTGATTGACCTAATAAATAGTAGTATAAAATTAATTTTACTAA